ATTTATGCCATTGCAGTCCCGTGTGGTTCACGCGAAGCGGCCAAATTAGTCTTTAAATAGCTCTAAAGAAATGTTAACTCACGTCAGCAAGTTTTTTGCCAGCTTTATAAACAGAATTTCGCGACGAATCGCTACCGAACAAATCGACCTGAAATCTCTGAATCTTTCTACTGGATAACTGGTGAATTGATTCATCCGAGTTCATTCTCACCTTATTGCCGACCAAGGCTAACACGGTCGAGTCTTCGACACCGTTCCGAACCGATTCGATCCAATTTCGAACGTTTAGAAAGCTTTGCTCTGACGTTACATCGAATAACAGTAGTACACCGTCAGCTTTACGGAAATATTGCTTCGTTATTGATCGAAACCTGAATAAGGGTAGAGCATTCTCTCACGATTTTTCCATGAGGTAAAATGGAGAAGAAATAGCAACGATGGACTAATAGCTCTTCATTTCGCTAAGGTAGGAGTAATCATCAATGCAAGATGATGAAAAAACAAAGGATTTTTGCCTAGAACCTGAGCAATGGGACCCCTTTCGGCCCGTTGATTTCCGCATAATAGCGAATCTCGTGAGTGCTGACGTAGTCTCCTGCGTCTCTGCTAAACTGTAGAGCCCACGGCTAGAGTCCGAAGGCGAGAGGCAGTCGGTGGGCGGACAGCGGTGTGAGCGGCATGGCTATGAACCTGCAAAGCCGCTGAAGGCACACCCATCGCTGCAAAGTCCCGCACCATTAGAGACTCCATCAGCGTTTCAACTTGATAATTTCCCCTTCCTCGACGTCCGACCTTATCGTGGAATCCTATTTTGAGTCCTACTCTGTGAAGAAGGACTGGGTTCGTGCGCGAGAAGCCGGAGTCCAAGATGGTAGTGGGCAAACGGTACCCTGCCAGGGTAAGCCAACTACTCGGCTTCCGCTCAAAACCTGGAACTGCTGCCAGGTAAACATCTACGAGGCTAGCCAAAAAGTTCGCGAAAAACGACGAAATTTAGGATTTTGTTGCGGATATTTGCATCAAGCTAACAGCACCCGCCTATGAATCAAAGCCATTGTTTTGAATGGCTTTCTGCCCATAAATAACAAGCTTCTTATTAATCTTCTCAAAGCCCAACGTCGTAGGCCACGAGTTTAGAAGGCTTCCGACGAGAGTTCTTAAAGGCAGCGATGACGATAATTCGATGGTGATCAATTATGGGATGAGGGATGTCAAAAGGTATGGGATTGCGGAAGAAACCTGAATAAGCCGTCAACACGGGACTAATTGTAAGACCTTCGATCTGCTCCTTGACTTTGGACGAGTTCACGCTTAGAGGCTGGCCATTGGGCTTATGCCCCATGGAATATGTATAAGATACGATGAGATTACATTATATACCCGTCTGCACTTTCAGAATGGATATCATGCTCCAGTGATAACAAAATCACAAATTCTAATAACCACCCTTGGGGCGGGACGGTTTCGAAGGAAGCGGGTCGAATCGAAAGCCGACTGCATTAT